ACACCTACAGCAATGGGACATTTTCAGAGAAAGTCTCTCTTGATCCAGGAGACCAGGGAGTGACCTCAGCAGGTGGGACAACAGTGTCCTGTCACTCCAGGCTCAGCACCTCTGGCCTTTACTGAACCCCCTTCCTTGAGTCTGTCCAGTCCTGAACGCACAGACTTATATGGCTGGGGAAAGAAATGAGACATTGTGTTGTAGGTTGAGATAATTTATGGGCACTATTAGCATTGAACCATCACTAGAAGTTGTTTGTGTCAACAGAAGAGGAACCAAGAGAGCCTCTGTCTGGAGAATTTGTGAAGGTAGAAAAGCAAACCATCAGGGCAGGCCCAGAGGAGAGGGTTCATGTCTGCCTTTGCAGTTCACGTGAAAGAAAGGAGAGGGGTGGAGAGTCCCATTTTTCCTATATCCCTGGAAGGACATTGGATTTCCTAGAGCTATTTGCACGAGTGTGGTGAGGGCATGCTGTATACAATTACGTTTGCTCAGAAGTAACCTGCCCCTTCCCCACTCCCATCAGTCACCTTGTCAAGCCCTTGCTGGGGCCTTTGAAGAGTTTGCAGTTTGGCTGGAGAAAGTCACTTATGGGAAGAACATTTACAGTTATAGAGCTAACTCATAGAATCAAGATGAACTTAGAATGCTGTAAACAAAGATATAGTCATATATATACATAAACATAGACATGCATTTTACAGGTTTTAGAAAAGTAGTCTAACATCTGTTTTGCTTTCCTTGTTAATTCCATCGCCTTTACCCCCTTGGCCCTTCCCCCCGCCCCCAACTCTAAAATTCCTCAGCAAAGCCTCATTTAAAAGATGCTGTAGACTCTGCATTTTGAACTGGTGCCCAGAGTTTGATTTTGAAGATTTCTCCTCCCCAGCCTTACTCCAGCCCCCTTTGGCCTTCCAGCTAGCCAGGCCATCATTCCATGGCCCAACGTTGACAAATCTGTGCCTTCTGGTGCGTCTTGCCACCAACTAGCACCTGTCAGTCTTTTAGGGCCTGCTGAGCATTCACTGGGCATCAAAGACAATGGCAGTGTCAGGGGTGTATCAGAGCAATAACACAGCTGTGGGCACAAGCAACCTGCCAGGTCAAAAGCCATTGTGCAACAGTCCCCTGCATGTTCTCTTTCATGAAACTTCTGCTATGATTAGGGCTACCCCTCTGTGAACTTTTATTTATTTTATTTTATTTTTGTATTCTGGTTTTTCATTCTTTATTTGAATATTCTAGAAGAATGATTTTCAACTGGTATGCCACAAGAATCTTTAAAACACACAATATCTGACCATTTAGTCAGAGGCACTGACCTCTTTCCCTTAGACTGTAAAGTGAAAAAAATGATAAGAGTCAGCACAATAGCTGTCTAGTATGAATGAACCAAAATTAAAAATTAAACCAACTTTTTTGTCAGACTGGCAAAAAAAATAATATATATTTTTTGGTGTGCCATAGAATTTTAGTAATTAGTTTACGTGTGCCATGAGATGAAAAGGTTGACCATCACACTGTTCTAGAATCTTGAGTCTTGTCCAAGAGAACAAGACTCATGGCATCATAGCAAAGCAGACCTGAAGCACGTTTAACCCATTGTCTTCAGTTTATCAGTGAGGATGCTGAAGCCCATTGAAACAGAGAGCATTGCCCAGGGGCATGTGCCGGTGATATCCAAGACTAGCAGCCAGGCCTTTGACTCTTGTTCAGTGCTTTCACCTTAAAGTGGTTTAGCATGTAAGTATGCAGTGTACAAGGTCTGTCCTGGAAGTATTCATCCATGTGCTATGCAAAATAGAGACATTTATTGAAGAAGATACAAGATACAAGGAACATTGTACATAGGACAATGACAACTCAGTCCCCTTCAAAATAGGCACCTTGGCATCTCACACAGTTCTCCCAGTTACCATCAGCTGCCCTGTTGTATTTTCCTGAATGGCATCAATGGTCTGAAATCTCTTTCCTTTCAAAGGTAATTTTTTTAAAGATTTTTATTTATCTTTAGAGGGGAAGGGAAGGAGAGAGGGAGAGAAACATCAATATATGATTGCTTCTCATGCGTCCCCTTCTGGGAACTGGCGTGCAACCCAGGCATGTGCCCTGACTGGGAATTGAACTATGATACTCTGGTTTACAGGCCCGCGCTCAATCCATTGAGCTACACCAGCCAGGGCTCAAAGGTGATTTTCAGTTTTGGGAAAAGCCAGAAGTTGTAGAGCACTAAATCTAGTGCTGTAGGGGGCTGAATCACCTGGATGATTTGATGTTTTGCCAATAAACTGCGTGAGTTGTGATGCATTAACAGGCACATTGTCATGATGAAGCTGCCAGTCACCAGTTGCCCATAGCTGTGATATTCTGAGTCGTCCAAATAGTTTCTACAGAGGACTATTCAAGCTTAATGCAAAGTTTGATGCAGATTTGTTGCTCTACTCTCTTAGTCATTTTGAATGCAACAGCCACACAGTACACATGCTCATTCAGTGTTGTCTACTGCCCCCACCCATCAGTACAGTGAAGTCATTATTGTTCACACATGTGCATTCTAGACCATTCTCCTTGGCTGCCAGGTTACATCGATATCACACAAACCATTCTCATTATATTAACAATGGTAGGACTTTTTCCAAATAGACTTTGTACATTGCAACTCAGTCCCCTTCAAAAGGTGTTTATTCTAATACAAGTAAAATTACACATAATAGGTAACATTATTGAATAAGTATTAAATGACAGATATTGTTCTATGTATATTGCATATACATCAGTGACCTGATGTATATGCAATAACATTGACCCTTATTACAACCCTGTTAGGTGGGTCATATTATCATCAATTCACAGTTGAAATACCTGAGACACAGAGAAGTTAAATAACTTGCCCTTAGCGTATTTTATTTATTTGTTTATGTGGTTTTGGAGAGGGGGTAGGGAGGTAAGGTGGGAAACATCAGTGTGACAGAGAAATATGAATTGGTTGCCTTCCATATGTGCCCTGACTGGGGACTGAATCTGCAACCCAGGCATGTGCCCAGGAGTCGAACCCATGACTTTTTGCTTTGTGGAATGACACCCAACCAACTGAGCTACACTGGTCAGGTTTGGGGAAGTCCTATTACTCTGAGACTTTTCTGGAACTTGGGACTGTATCTGCCTCAGCAAATAGGTACTGAGCCTCTGGAATGGACGAAGAAAGCCCTTGCCTTTCTACTGGGAAATAAAGATGTGAGTCGATCAGTCACAACAGCACTCAGTGATGGCAGCAACAGGCATGCATCAAAGGTGGCAGGAGGCTGAAGAGGGTGTAATGGGCCTCGCCAAGGAGTTAGCATTTGAGTGGCCTTGGGGATGCATAGGATTTTGCTAGCTGGAGAGTGAGTACTCATGCACAAATGGATGGAAAGACCTAACGCGTTCAGGGAAAAATCAGGAAGGTGAGAAGTTCAGAGTGCTAGAAGGCAGAAGCTTGACAGCTGTGGGGCAGATATTGGCAGATGGGGCTAGAGAGGCAGGTTGGGAGCAGACTACAAAGCACTTGTGTCCCAAGATAAGGAATTTGGATTATATCCAGTACATAGAGGGGATCCAACAGAAATTTTATGAGTGAGGACATGACAGAATCAGGACCATAGAGATGGTAGAAGCATGGGAAGGCTGGAGACAAGGAAACCAGTGAGGAGGAGGTTGTTGAGGTTGTCCAGGTAGAAATGAGGGCCTGGACTGCTTACAGCCATCTGATTGGCACAGTCTGCCTACACTTTAAACTTCCTACCACTTCTATCACTTGGAATGTTCTCTTTAATCCAGTCTTCCTGGAACTACAGGCCCATCGTTCAAGACTAAGCACAGGTGTTTAATATGGAGACTAAGGAAAGTACCCACCCTGAACAGGCTTGCACGCTCCCTCCTTTGGCACTCCACTGTCTGGTACATTCTTCTTCTCCCCGGACACACATAAAATCGTGTTGCACATCTTTATGTACATTTCTCTTTTCTGCTTACACTAGCTTCTTGAAGGCAGAACCAGACCTTTGCATCCTTAAATACTTGGCACAGTGCCTGACATTCAGTGAACTCTCAATAAATGTAAGATGAATGAGTAAACGTTCTAAATAAAGGCCACCGCCTTTATTTATGATGATGATGGATATGGAGAGAAGAGGCCAAATTTGGGAGATGATACTTTTAACTTATATCAGAGGTTGGAAAAACATGACCCATGGGCCAAATCCAGCCCACTTCTCTACTACTTTTGTAAATAAAGTTTTGTTGGAACACAGCCAACTCCATTTGCCTACATTTTGTCTATAGCTGTTTTCATGCTACAATGGCAGAGTTAATTTTTTGTGACAAGATCAGATGGTTTGCAAATGTAAAAATGTTTACTCTCTGGACCTTTCCTGATAAAGCTAGTTAGGTGGCCAGGATTTGTGACTGGAGATAAAGGGTGACGGAAAGGAAAGAGTTAAGACTTCCTTTTCTCTTACCTCCTTACTGTGCCGAGTACAGCACTTTGCTCCCAAGTGATGGCATTGACCCATAGACCTGCAGGAACTGAGAAATGCCCATGACTGCGGGGCAGAAGGAAAAGTAAGCTTAAGAGAATAAGGTGGGAAAGAGACCCCATAGGAAGAGACCAGGGCCTTGGCTGATGTGGTTCAGTTTGTTAGTGTCTTCCCATGGGTCAATAATCATGGATTCAATTCCCAGTCAGGGCACATAAGTAGGTTGTGGGTCCAGTCCCCAGTTGGGCATGGCATGTATGAGAAGGCAACCAATCAATGTTTCTCTCATCAATATTTCTCTCTCTCTTTCCCTTCTTCTCTCTCTCCAAAGGTAATGAAAAAATGTCCTCAGGTGAGGATAAAAAAAAAATTAAAAACAGAACAAACAAAAACAAGAGAGAGATTAAGGCCCTAATGTACAAGGCAGAATTGATCTAAGTCCTGCTTCTTCCTCATGAAGCTTCTCATGCCTGTGGTCTCTTTCAGTTGTCCAGTTTGGCTTCGTCACCCTCTTTGTGGCCTCCTTCCCTCTGGCACCTGTGTTTGCCCTCCTCAACAATGTCATTGAAGTGCGGCTTGATGCAAAGAAGTTTGTCACGGAGCTGAGACGGCCAGATGCTGTGAGAACCAAAGATATCGGTATGTCTCCTGCTTAGAGGCGGTGAAAGACGCATCCCCCTGGCCCCACTGTTACAAAACACAGGCCAGGGAGCACGATTATTGGCCCACACAGGGATGCCAAAAACCGTTACAGAACAGATACACACACATACAGGGCCAAGGGGGTCATGATACACTATTACCAAAAAAACCCCCTACCAGGTTCGTTATGTCTGCCACCAGATAGGAAAGACATCTCTCAATGCCAGAGATTTGTGAAAAAGAAAGGAAATGTTTATTTAATGCTATACAGACTTAAAGTAGTGACCTGATGTCTTCATTAAAATATCAAAGCCCTTTTGGATACCCACAGACGTCCACAGTGCTTCCTTGTTCCCCTGCCCTAATGTGGGGTACTGTAACTCAGGAAAAGAAGTAAATTTCCGTGTTTCAGGCCACTGGCACCATCAGCTGTGTCGCCATCCAGGCAGGATCTCTAATTACTCCAAAGCCATGTGGCACCTTCTCATGGCCTACTGGCAAGAGTTCTTTCAGCCTTCTTCCAGGCAAAGTCTCTCCTGTTTCCCAGGCCACATGGCCAAAGAAAGGGAGCACCCCAGAGCTGCATGGTCCTCTTTTACCAAAGCTGCAGGGGTCCCCACTCTGGCCAAAACCACATGGTTTTTCTCTCCACTGGAGCTGCAGGGGTCTGCATTCTGGCAAAACCGCATGGATCTCCCCTCTGTACCTAAGCTGTGGGGAGGGGGTGTGGGTTGCCACTATGCCAAAGCTGAGTGGTGGTTCTCTGCTAAAACTGCATGGTGATTCTCTCCACCCAAGCTGCGGGGGTCCCCACTCTGGTCAAAAGCACGTGTGTCTCTCTCTGCAAAGCTGTGTGTGGCTCTCCCTCAATGGCTGTTGAGTCTGGGTTTAAATCCCCTCACCAGTCTTCCTCTGCAGCCCCATTTCTGACCCCTCCCACAATCGGCTACACTTTCCAGCACTCTCATATCCTTCCAGCTTTACTGGGCTGCCATTGTGAGTCTAGGCAGGTGTGGCCCCATTGCATGGAGCTGATCTTGTCCAAGCTCTCACGCAGGTGATGTAACTCGGGGGACCTGCCCCCAGTTACTTGTTGGTGGGAAATCCCTTCCACTCCCTTGGCTCAGAGCATGGCCACAGCTATTTAACATATCTATGCAACCAGTTAAAGGTTATAGATATGTTAAAAGACCATGCCAGAGGTTAGCTGCAAAGCTGTTGCTGTACAAAACAGCTCTCAATGACCCTGCTCCATTTGTTCCTTCCCCCAACTCACACCTGTTGTGGGGGGAAGGGGTGAAGACATCTTATATGTCTTTCTAATACTTCTGAGACACCTTGAGTTCTGGACCCCATTCCAAATCCCTTTTTGGGGTCCCCCTCTTGGCTGCACCCTGTCACACCACCACCCTCATGCTGATGGGAATCCAGAGTATTTGGGAAGCCTTTGCCTCTTCACCCCATAAGCTCCTCATCCTCAGATCTTCAGGTACCAGCAGGCCTTCAGAGGCTACGTTATAGGGGAGCACCTAAGCCTCTCTAGACAAGCCCACTCCTGGGCAGCCCAGAAAACCTTCCTTGGTAATGTCCCTGCAAAGCATCACTCTGAGATGCAAGGTTGTCATCACTGGGCCATGGGTGGGAGAGAGCCAGACACCCTCCTTTCTGTCTTACAGGGATCTGGTTTGACATTCTCTCCGGAATCGGCAAGTTCTCTGTTATCAGCAATGTAAGTGCTTATATCCATGACACCCTAGCATTGTGGGAAGGGCTTTCCTGAGGGGCCGAGGCCTTCCAAACAAGACACTAGCCCTCATTACATCTCAGCCTTTTCCATTCTAAGCTTTATTTAAAGCAGTTCCCTGGTTAATAATGCATAGAAGCTGTTCTAATTCACTGTGCTGTTGCCGGAACAATGCCACTTAATTGTTAATTTCACTAAGAGAAAGAAGGGTAATTATGCACCAGAATGCAAAACTTTGCCTTAAAAGCCAAAATCAGGTCTTTGCTCAGACCAAGACTAATGAGGAAAGAATTCCTCATATCTATCCATCTCTTTCCTTTCTTTTCTACTTCTGAGCTAAACAATACCTGGAGCCTTGCCAGGGTTGCAATTCCTAATTATGGTTCCTCCAAGTTGTCATTGTGAAGTCTTAATTATCCCCATGGACTCTGGCACTACATAGGTGAAGACAGGACATGGAAGAAGAGGGGTCCTACCTGTTGTGACCTCCTTAACTACCTTGCCAGACATGTCCACATTTCAAAGGAAATCCTGCTGGGCCCAAGCCACAGTTCCTTTTGCTTCTGCCTTCTGTACAGATGGTGGCCAGGCAGGGCCTCCTCCCGCAGTCTCCCAAAAATATATCAGCCAGCTCAGTGAACACCAAGAAATCCATGGCCCATTTTCCCTTGGGAGAGGGACGCTGACTCTGGCCGGGACCCGGTTCCCTAGTAAGAACACACAAAATGGCTGGGGAGGTATGAGGGAGGCAGAGAGAGTCAACGCGTTGCATTTTTGAATGTTTGATGTAGGAAACACACATTTTGAGAAACAACATACAATTTGGGAAAATTTAGATCAATAGCTAATTGGGAGTTGTATCTACAAAAAGAAAAGAAAAGAAAAAAGCCCTGAGTACTAAGCACTTTCCATCTATACAGTAGAAGGAAAGAAACTGTACTTCCCCAGCCTCTCTGAGACTTTGTCCCTTATCTGTAAAAATGGGAAAGAACAAGAGTACCCACAACTAGGATCACCCTGGAGGTTGCACATGATGAAAGGGCAGCTAACCAGTACTCGGCAGTGGTAGCTGTGATTATCGTAAATATGTTACTCTCAAATATGGTTGTGGCCATCCACGGTCATATATACATTTAAAAACAATACCTAAACTATATTTTTAAAGGGCTTTCATTGTTGGTGTGGAACATAGCATAAACACTTGCCAAAAAGATTTAAGATTTTCTTTGCAGAAAGGACCTCCCCATTCAAACATAGACTCATTCATTTGTCATTTGGTTTGCTCCACAGACATTTATAGAGTGCTAGGAGATGCCAGATGCTGTGTTGGCTATGTGTGGTTCCATCCAGAAGGGCCCATTCATTTCCCCTCTATGTCTCACTTCTCCTAAGTAAAATGAATGAAAGAACCAGTTCCATTATACAATGTGCCAGAAAGTGCCAAGAGGTAATGGTCAAATTGAGGGAATTGAGGAACCATATCCTGGCTTTCTGGTGTCACTCAAGGACAAATGTACCTGGTCATTCAGAGTCCTTGCCTATGGTTCCTATGTAACATTTTCATCACTATTGCTATTTTCTCAGAAAATCCTCCATTCTACTTTGGATTGGCCAGTACCAAATATCTCAGGCGTGAGTTATTCCCTTTGGCACCGAATGGTCCAAAATGGCTTAGCATCCTTTTCTACAGTGGTAATAACTTACTCTCTTGACAGCCACTGTCTATGGATTTACTTACACATATCAAAGATAGAAAAGCCAACTAAAGTCAGCTGGCTTTTCAGGAGCTGAGAACTCATGAGCTGAGTCTCATGAGCTCAGAGATAAGGACTTCTGTATCAACCAGAGCAGCACCTGTGGATGGGAAACCCAAGAAGGGACAGTCTCTCATCTAGGTGGAACCTGCGCCACCTGGACAGCATCCACCCTGACCTCTCCTCAAACACTTTTGGTTTTGTTCCCCAGGCTTTTGTCATTGCCATCACCTCCGACTTTATCCCCCGCCTTGTGTACCAGTATGCCTATAGTCACAACGGGACTCTGCATGGCTTTGTCAACCACACCCTCTCCTTTTTTAACGTCAGCCAGCTGAAGGAGGGAACGCAGCCTGAAAACTCACAGTTCGACGAGGAGGTTCAGTTCTGCAGGTAAAGTAATCATTAAGAGGAGAGAAACAGAGGACCTTGACTGGGAGATTTAAATAATTACCTGGATAACCTAGACTTAGACCATTTTCCTTTCTCCTACCTCACGCCTAATTACTATAAATTCGTTTCCATGAATCAGCAAATACTCATTGAGTATTGAGTGCCTTTTGCTACACACTATGAAGCAGACAAAGAAGTATATAGCCTTGTCTTTACCATCAAGGGGTTTATGGTCTGGTTGGGAAGAAAACAAGCAGGACAGATAGGAAATAGCGGACTATTCAATAATTATATCTAATATGGACCATAAACATTGTGGCTATTCAGAGAGGGAGATCAGTGTTGGGTAGAATGGAGAGGGGGAGGCCTCCTGGGGGCACCAAGAGGGATTCTAGGACAGAAAAAGTATCCTAGCTGGGGAGTTTGCATGGGCAAAGTCATGGGGGTGGGGATGAATCTGGGGTGTTAGGGATTCTACATGACTTTGTCAATCATACCTTCTCCTTTTTTAATGTCAGCCAGCTAGGTGATACATTTAGCAAAGGGGGTGCTTAAGAAAACAATAAGGAATAATATTATATATTATTTAGTCAGTGAGCTTCAATGAGACTTTTTGAGCTTCAATGAGACTTCAATGAGACTAGGATAATAAAAGCCAAAATATTGTTGAACTTTATCCAAGTTCAACAATAGTAGTTGAACTTGGATAAAGTAGTTGATGGTAAATTTTGAAACCTTACAAGAATTTTAATGTGATGTAATAGGAAGATATTGACCTTTTAGTGACAAGGAATAATAGAATAAAGGGTGGGCTTCAGAAAATTGATCTGGTCTTAGAGAGGAAGATAAACTAGAATTGGGGGAACTCAGGGAGGGCAGCTGAGCTGCTGCATCATTCAGACATGAACCATGATGGAAACAGACCAGGGTGGTAGAGGAAGAAGAGAGAAGATGAGCTATTTTATTAACATATTGCAAAGTTGGTGACCAAAACTAGAGAGTCTTAGTCCAGGATATCTCCAAAGTTTGGAGTAAAGTCAGAAGACTAGAAAATTGTGGATCCATTCACAGAGATGGGGAAGATACTAAGTGAATCTGATTTTATGGTACCTGTGATGAATTTGATTTTAATCATGGTAGGAAAATAATGGTAGGAAAATAATGGTAGGAAATCTGAGGGGAAATTTTCACCTAACTTCTAGACACACTAAGCTGGAATTCCAGAGAGGTCCACATGCATGTTATGATTAAAAGCCATTAACACAGGGATCATTGAAGCCGAAAAAATTAGAAAACTCTTCACCATGTACCCACGAAGGTAAAATGAAGAGAAAATCAGAGGGGACTAAATTATTTAACACTTTTATACTCTGGTGAAAGGATAGTCCCTATAAAGGACTTAATCAAGAATCATACCTCCTAAATTAAAAAAATAGAACAATAAATACAATGAAAATAAAAATCTAGGAAAGGCATTGTTGGGAAAACACATTGTTGGGAAAACACAGGGCTTTCCCAAACCATCCCCAGTGGTGTCTGATGCCAGTGACACCAGCGAAGAAGCAATGTGTCTGCTGTGTTTGCAGCAGTGATGGGCGTCTCTGTCTGGCTTTCCCATCCGGGGAACTTGGTATTTGACATCAGCCATTTGTACGATGGCTGCTTCAGTTCAGATTCACAGTCTGAGACTACAGAAGAGAGAAAGAAAAAAGTTGATCTTCTAACCCAGATGACTCAGTTAAATAGCCTTATTAATTAGTGATTTAAATAGAAGGGTATTCTGGACCCAGGAGCAATAACTTTAGGGTTCAACCCTAGCCCATCAAGAAAAGACTCAAAATCAGAGACCAGATCTAGGAACAGATAAGTAAGTTTATTAATAGATATCAATTTGTAGCAGGCTGTTTCAGGAATTTTCATATCTGGGCCTATTAAGACTCTTGGACTAACGTTGTACCCAGGGGCCACTCCTAGTCTATGTGTCTGGAGTGTCAGACTGTCCATGGTGCTGGAATTTGGTCTGTAGACCCAGCAGACATAGTTCTACTGCTCAGAGAGGGGCTATAGCAGCTCTAGGCCTTTCCTGGTAGCATCTAGATCTGCTCCAGCAGGGTCCATGGAGTCAGTCAATAGGTTTATATTAAATAAGCAGGCACAGAAAGGTGAGAATTAGATGATCATTTTAATAACTGGAAGGTACAACAGAAATCATCTTGTCGAAACTCCTTATTCTATATAAAAATAAACTGAGGCTTAGAAAGTTGAAGAGTTCTCCAAGATTGCAGAGGTTTCTAATGACAGATCCTAAACTAAAATTCATGTCTATCCAAGAACACAAGGCTCCACCCCTGTGTGCAGGGAGGGAACAACACTAGTGTGACTTGCTGTGTGGGGAAACAAGGCTAACACTATCTGCTTCTTTAGCTGGTTTAGAATCACATGTTTGTCCAGAACACTGAGGTTCTCTGACCTTGCCCTGAACATCAGATCTTCCAGTAACATAGATAAGTATGATTTCCAGATATATCAGTGGCCTAAATTGCCTTAAACACAAAGGGATTTTAATGACTCCCATGTTGAAAGTTGAAGGTAGGCCTAGTTTTAGGCAAGTTTGATTCAGTCGAGTCTGTACCAACCAAATCTTTCTCCATCTGCCAAGCCCACCCCAACTGATGTTGACTGTAGTTTCAGGATCTATGTGACTGCCAGCAGCTGCAGGCCAGTGGGATAAAAGCCCATATCTCTTTCCCAGTGACCTCAGAAAAAGTCTCATGGAAGCTCACTGACTATGATCAGTGTGCATGCCCTACCCAGAACCAATCATGCCCTACCTGTAACCAGAGACATGTGATGCTCTCCATGGCATTTGGGGCCACTGGGGTTGGGCTTGGGGGTGAAATCATCTCCAAATGAAGCACACCAACTCCGAGTTGGAGGTAGTTCCCTAGTGAGAAGACAAGATGAATGGATATCACTCAGCTAAAACAAAAATTGCCCAGGAAATCAGGTGTTAGCACACATGGAGCAGATCAAGCTTTCTTGTATCTGCCTTCAGAGTCACTGGCTTTTTCAGTCGGTTGTAAAACTCCAGTAACTCTTCCCTCCATTGTTTCTTTGCAAATAGGTGGGACCATGGCTTATCTGTGGCCCATTTTTTAAAAAATTTGTGACTGAGTGGCAGAATTATTAATGGGTGGATGCATAAGAAGTATATTCTGTATTTCTGCCAAGAAAATTTATTCACAGAATATAAATCATTCCAGAACTAAACCAAAATGATTTCTGAAACATCTGATTATTTTTCTTTATTCAGGACCAGTGGGGATTATGGGTTCACTAATATGACTGGTTCTAAGACCTTACCATAAGCTTCACATCGGCGATATGATAGGGAATAAGACAAAGTGCCTCCCTCAAGGGGTCTAGATAGAGGAGATGAGTCAGTAAGTAAGTAGCTAAAGTACAGCTTTAGTCATTTACAATAGTGTCAGTATAGGAAGCTCTGATGGCCCTCAGGACAGAGGCCATGCACCTGACTGAGACCTAAGTGTTCAGGCAGAGCTTCAAGGGAGATGGAGCCTGAAGAATGATCAGTACAAGAGTGGCCAGATGGATCATTTTATTGAAACTCTTCATTCACATGACCATGCTGGCCTGGGTGGTGAGTGGGGTGGGAAGAGCAATGGTGGGTGGTAAAGGGGGTGTCCAGTGGGGAAGGGGTCCGGGGAGAGCAGTGGTTTGCAGGTGGAGGGGTGAGTTTGTGCTTGGTGGTTGGGGATGGAGTGAGAGGTCAGCTGAGAAAGAGGAGGCTGGAAGGAGGCACAAAAGCCAGACCAAGAAGGGCACACTGGTCATTTGGAGATGTGTGGATTTCCCCTTGGGGCAGCATGAAGCCACTGAGGGGTTTCAGGGAGCGGTGATGAGCTCAAACTTTCCCTTGGTATTACCTCTGACCTCTGTGTGAAGACTTGCAGGTTACATTAGAAATAAAGAGATACCCTACCCCAAAGTGTGGGCAGATGTTAGAGAACAAGGTCAGCATATCATCTAGAGACCCTATCAAGTAGGTATGTTTTGCCAGCTACCTTTCCTAGATGGGTGAGAATTGTCGATGAAAATCTTTACATCAGATGGGTCCTATTCAATTCATGTTGTCTGGATCATTGTAGAGATTTAGGAAGTGAAGGCATAACCTACTGATGTCTTTGTATGGTAGGAATTGTCAGTGACTAAAAATAGAAAAAAGAAGAAAGGGAGGGACAGAGGGAAAGACAGGGATTGAAAATGAGAAACAGAGACAATTCCGTAGCTAGCCCCAAAGCCTGTATTTAAAACTGCTCCCATGGTGGGAAATGAAGTTTGCCCTGATTTTCTGGCAAATAGTGTTGGGAACTCAATGACCCTTCTTATTCTTAGCTTTCAGTGACCTCTGGAGATAAATGTGGTCAAATAAAACTGAGGTCTCCAGCTCTAATCCAGCCTCGCCAGGGAAGAGGTATCTTAAAAATAGCCATAAAAGTTAAGGCAGTCTCCGGCTGCCCATTTGAGATGCATTCCCAGCATTTTTGGAGCAATGTTGGCCTGAACCATCTAACCGCTCTGGCAGGGCTGCTCCATAAACAGGCCTCTGACGTCAATCAGCAGGCACGATTAGCGCCCATTTGACAAGGTCGAAGGACTACTATGTCCTGGAGCATGGATGATGGCTTGGGCTCCGGGCAGAGCTGGAAGGCAAGCAGAGAGATCTGTAGGGCAGGTCCTAGCCCGGGTCCTGGGTCTCAGAGCTGGAGGAGCCGCCCTGGGCATGGTTAACCCAATGGGCCTGTTTGGAGGTGCTGAGCCTGAAGAAACTGCATTCTTGGGTAGCTCCTGCTGGGTTTTTCTGCAAGCGCCTAAGTTCTTTCCTATCCCGAGGTGCTGTAAAATTCTTTGAAGAGGCGAGTCTCCTTCCAGCCCATGGCTGCCTCTCATCTGCTGCTTGCTGAAACCAGAGGTAAAGT